TCTTAACAAAAAAAAAATTAGTGAATGCCAGCTTAAATAACAAAGCAAAACAGCCAGGCATAGGGCTCATGGCAGTGATCCCATTCAAGGAAGCCAAGCAGGAGAATGGCTCTACGTTCCAGTCTAGCCCAGGCTACAGAGTAAGACCCTGACTCAAAAACCAAAATAAAACAAAAACCAGCTGGTAAGATTTTGTTAAGCATTTCATGGCTTTGCATTCATTAAGTGGCCTCATTTATCTACTAGGAATGTATTTCAATTGGTAGAGATCTTGCCCAGCATGAATGAAACCCTGGGTTGGATCCCAAGCAGGACATAAAACATGGCAAGGTGGCTCCAGCTGGCCAGAAATCGAAGTAACTCAAGAGACAGAGGAGGGAGGATCATAAGTTCAAGGTTATTCTTGGCTTCATAACAAGTTGGAAAACAGCTTGAGATATATAATACTATACCTTAAAGAGGGCAGGAAGGGGAGTTCCTTTGTTAAGAGTGTAAAGATTCCTAAGCTAAGGCTGGAGAGACATCTCAGTGGTTAAGAGTTAGATTCCTGTTTTGGGACACCCACAACTAAGTGCTTGTAATTGCAGCCCTAGGGGATGCGACACCTTTTTCTGGCTTCCCGGGACATACACACAAATGGCATGCAATGATAGACTCATATATATATGCATAAATAAAAAACCTTAAAACAACAAATCCAACCAACCAACCAACCAACCAACCAACCAACGATTCCTAGGCAGGGTGACAGAATCCCAAATCTGTCTGTCCATCAGCTTGAGCCCCCTGCTGCTTTCGCCCATGTGGTATGGGAAGCATCTTCTCCTTTCTGTCTACTGAATGCTTCTTTTTTAGGATTCTTTGTGACTGACTGAATATTCCAACCTACCTCTAACAGAGGAAGCACCTACTATTTCATTGATATAATTCCGAAGGGAAGAAGACAGCTCTATCCAGGGAGCAATGAATCTGTGTGAGCAAGAAAACTGAGCTCACAGTGACAAAAACATTGTTGGCAGCTTGTCTCATGTCTGGTCATGCCTGTGAACCAGGAAGCATCATGTGCTCAGCTCAGGGAGAATTTATGTCTCACAGACAAGTGTCAGAGAGGCAAGCTTGACAGAAGCCAGACAAGCTCTGCCACAAAGGAGTGCTGGGAAGCTCTGAGCTGCTATTTTACCAGGCAGCAAGATAATGACTGGGTCTGAGTACTAAGTAATCACTGAAACCATGGTGCTTTGCTTTGTCTCATGAAAGTCGTATTCAGCAGTGAAGACACACAGGCACACATGCATATATAACCCCAACAACACAGTCACCATATTGCAATTGGGGAAAATTTGGCAATTCCATGTCTGGGCACATAGCCAAGTTGAAATTAATGTATCAAAGAGATGTTTGGACTCCCATTTTCACCGAAGCATTATTCTCAATAGCCAAGAACTGGAAACAACCAAAATACCTGAAACAGCATAGGGATGAATTTTCTGGATAGGATTCTGTAACACAGGAGATAATCCGAAGAATTGACTAAAGGGATTATAGGAATTTAAGAAATAGCCACCAGTGAGTAGCCAGCCTATACTATAGGCCTAATAGACTGGGGAAAAAATCTTTGCCAACTATACATGACACAGAGAATTAATATCCAGGTTATATAAAGAACTGTAAAAATTAAATACCAAGAACCAGATTATATAATGAATGGCTAGACTAAAGACGCAAACAGTCCAACTGATACTTGAAAGTGTTCAACATCCCAAACTTCTTTGAGATTCTTTCAGGCAGGTGTAGTGGTACATGCCTTTAATCTCAGCACTCAGGAGGCAGAAGCAAGTAGACCTTTGTGAGTTCAAAGCTAGACTGGTCTACAAAGTGAGTTCCAGGACAGAAAGAGTTACAGAATGAGACTCTGTTTCAGAGATTCTGTTTCACCCCAGCCAGATGACTGCCATCAAGAAAACAAACAATAACAAATTCTGGGAGTGGAGGAAGAGGATTCATTATGGGTAGGAATGTAAATTTGTATAACCATCATTAAAGTCAAGGGTGATGTTACTCAAAAACTGAAAGCGGGTCTATCATACCATGCAGGTGTACCACACTGGGGTATATGACCAAGGGAGTCTAGGTCAACATACCACTAACAGCCAGGAAATGTCCATCAAAAGAAAAACAGATAAAGAATATGTGAAGCATATACGCGATGGAAGATGGAATTTTTTGCATTATAAAACCATGCACTTGCTGACAAATGGATGCAATTGGAAATCAGTATATTAAGTGAAACAAGCCAGACACAGAAAGACAAATACCGAATGCTTTCATCACACTTGGAACCGGGATTTTAAATTATACATATGTATACATATTATACACGCTTATGTAGTATGCATATACATGAAAAAGAGAAACAAAATGCATATAACAAATCAATGGCTTTTGAAATATGTTATAGACACAATAGAAATTGATTCAGCCTTTACAAAAGAGGAAATTCTATCGTTGCCCTCATGGATGAACATAGACAACATTACAGGTGCCTCCCCTTACAGATATTGTCACCTCAACCCTAGCCATTGAGGACCAAGCCTTCAAGCACATGAGCCTTTCAGGGACAAATTACATCCAACCACAGCAGGTTGCTTATAGTTTGAAAATGTCACAGAGCCACTTAGACCTTCGTGGACTCATCTTCACAAACATTTTCTTTCATTTCTCTTGAGTACATAACTAAAGGGAATGGCTGTGTTGTACAGTAGAATATGATTAACTGTACAAGAAAATGCCCGTTTGTGAAACTGGTTGCACTACTTTACATCTCCACCAGAATTCTGGCTCTTCCACATCCCTACCAATGTTTGGTGATGTAATTTTCATTCCATCCCTTCTTGTAAGTACATGCTACTTGCACATTCCTTTTAAAGTTTCTGGACTTTTTATCGAATAATAAGAGTTCTTTATATATGTGTATATCTGTATCTGTATGTAGATGTTTTACGATTGTCTTCTCCCAACCTACAGTGGCCTTCATTCCTTTAAGACTACTATCTTCCAGGGGCAGGAGAGATGGCTCTGTCATTAAGAGCACTGGCTGCTCTTGAGGTGATGGACCTGGGTTCAATTCCCAGCACCCACATGGCTGCTTATAATCACCTATAACTCCAGTTCTGGGGGTCTGGTGCCCCTTTCTGAACTCTGTAGACACTTGTATACACATGGCAGATATAAGCTCATGTAGGTGTCTGTGAAAGTACACACATAAATAAATATTTTTTAAAAAGAGAATATCTTTCAAAGAACAGAGGTTTTTATTTTGGTGAAGTCAATTTATTGATTTTATTATTGCATAGTTTTCCCTTTTAGTGTCCTATTTTAGGAATCTTCATCCAACAAAAAGCCCTTAAGAGTCTTTACAAATGTTTCCCTGAGACAACTTAGAAGTTCAGGTCTTTTTTTTTTCTTTTTTTTAAGGTCAGGTCTTATGTTTAGGAGTAAGATCTATTTTGAGCTACATTTAGATAACAGTATGAGGTCTCTGGCATGTTGAGGGCCCATTCTCTGATTCTCTGATTCAACAAGTTTGGATGGTGATGCTGAAACTGCAGAATCAGGGGCTGTGGTCCAAGCCTGCACTCTGAAACACTAAATAACAAAAGGTTTTCAAGCTTAGCTGTATATTAAACCTGGAAATGTGTTTAAAATCCAGATATATTGGTCTCATCCAGATGAGCAAGTATCTAGGATCCCGGTGGAGAGAGGAGACCAGCTTAAACATCAGTGTCCTAGAAGGTTTCTAAAAGTGGCTGAGAGTAAATACAGCAATGTCATGACAGGCATTTTCTGTCTGGGGAGCTCTTTAGGGCTGGTAGGGTTACAAATAGATTGAAACTGGGCCACAAGTAGAAGCCAGGGGATAGAAAACTACAGAAACAGCCCACGCAGAACTGTGGGAGCGCTTCCTTCAGGAATCCCCCAACGCAGAGGAGGAAGTCTCAAGTTCCAAGCTGTGAGATCCATTTCCCCCTCTGCATCTTCTCATTCTCCATCCCTCCCAACTTCAGCCAAGGTCCTGTTCTGTAGTTCTGTAGTTGCCTCCCTTGGCTTTCAGACTAAAGCTTCCTTTCTGGAAGTCGATTCCCTCTTTGCCTAGCTGAAATTAACTTGCACAGAAATTAATAGTCAGTTATACTTGGCTAGGGCTGGTGTTTTCTTTTTTCTTCCTAATGCCCTATTTTTACCTCCCTTTGATTCTTGTGAAAGGTCGCTTTGTAACAGTGTTTGCTCACACATCTTTAGTCCTTGCTATGTCCCTCCCTTAAGGTAACAGGAACACTGTCGTACTCAGTGTATGGTGTTAAATAGTCATCCAACAAATATTTGATGACCTAGTATACACTGGATATTTTATGTGTAAGGACACAGCAGTCAACGAAGCAAAGAGGGATCCTTCCATTAATTGGATAGCATGTGATGAGTATAAGAAAATGGGGAAAAAATTAGGCATGGTGGCTTATGCCTTTAGTCTCAGGGCTTGGGAGACAGATACAGGCAGATCTCTTGAGTTCTAGGCTATGATCTATTTAGTGAGTTCAAAGTACTAGTCAAGGATATGTCTCAAAAAAAGCAACAACAACAATAACAACAACCAAAAAAGGCTATGAGGATTACAAATAAATCATAGTATGAACGTAAATTTAGGGCTACTTAAGATTAAATGTACTAGGAAACTCTCTTTAGGGAAGAAGTGTTAAGTAAGCCAATAAGGGAACACCAAGAGTGTATTCTCCAGAGACTGCCCGCCTAAAGGGTCTGTGGCCCTTAACGAGTGGGACAGTAGAGAAGCTAAGGACAGAAAAGACTGGGGTGAGATGACATAAACTTTGCAGCAGAGAAAGAGTTTTGACTTGTGCTCCAAGTGTGGCGAGGGACCTTGTATGGTTTAGGTCTTTACGAAGCTCTCTCCGAGGCTACGTGGCAGAGGCCTGAAAGGAAACTGAAACCCGAAGCTCTAGTGGCTTGGAATGGGCGTTGGCTGCAGTTAGGGGGAACTGAACGAGAACCCGGGATTTACGCAGCTAAAAATGCTCTGCCAGGAGCTGACAGTCCCCAGAGTCTCAGCCCAGCGTTCCGCGGGAGGGACCGGAAGAGGAAGTCGGAGCTGCACCCTAGAGGTCCGGGTGCCGCCAGCGCAGTCTGCGCCTAGCTGCCCGCCCGTGGGATGGGGCTGCTGTATTCGCTGCACTCTCTGGCTGCTGCCCTGCTCTGGAGCTGCCTGCTCAGACTGGTGAGAGCCGTACTCCCCTCCCCTCCGCTTTTCCCTCCCCTTCCTCCCTCTTCCTCCCCCTCCCCCTCCATCCCTTCCTCTCCCTCTTCCCCCCTCCCGATTTCCCTCATCCCTCCTCCTTCTCCTCCTCCCCCTTCCTTTCCTTCCAACCCAGCTTCCCATTCTCCCTCTGCCCGGGCCCTGTTAACTGCGTTCATCCTTGAGTCCCGGCATTCCTCACCTGCCCCCCAGCCCCCGTAATCCTGCGAAATGCCCAACCCCTGGAAGAAACCTGCGGGGCGGGGGTAGGAGTGGGCGGTGTGGGTGGGGAGCTTCCTCCTTCTTGGTCCTGGAGTCTCTATAATTTTTCACCGTGTTGACATGTTTTCTTTTTAATTCAAAGAATTCACTTTTGTGCGTATCTGTGTAGCCCTTCTTACTGCGGGTGGAGGGGCAGGTGTGGGCAGGGTTCCAGGTGTTAGCGTTCTGGCCTGCTCTTTAGTTAACTGCGCTCCATACATTTCTCTCTGTAGCCATATGAATATCTCTATACATTCCTTCCACTCCCATATAGTGCCTTCTATGGAAGGTACACGAGATTATACTGTGGGGATTTGTTTTATGCTTTTGTTTTCTTATAGGTATATTTTTAAATACCTTTAAAGGGGGGAAATGAGAGGTTTGAATAGATTGAAGTCTAAAAGGGTCGAAGTCTGGTTAAGAAAAATAACAAATATGTGCATACATACCCATGTTTACTGAAATAATGTTTTAAAATTCGGCATCAGGTAATTTGAGCTCCAATGTGTGACCAAGAAGCCAGCTTTCAGTGTTTTAGATTTTGTTTCTATTCACTTTCTTTTCTGGGGTTTGATGTTGGGAACTTTTTGCCGTGTTGTTTGCACACTGTTGTGTAAGCAGTGTATTCAGTTATTACTTAGAAACCATCACTTCTCTGAAAGACTGTACTTTGTTACTCTGGGCTTTAAAAGCTCACCGAGAAAGTCTAAGCCCCAAATAGGTTTTTGAAAAAGGTAGCCTTTGGTGTTCTAGGAACCTTGCTGGATAGCTTTGGAGAGAACTCATACAAATGTATTTTGAGGAGAGAATAACAACTCAGTAGCATTACTTTGTATCTTTAAAGTATGAACTGAGTAACCAGACAAGTACCATTTAGGTGCAAAGGAAACAGAGGGCATGTAAATGTCAGGAACCTATAACTTACCTGTCAAGCTTGACACTCATCTCAGTGAACTTCTTAAGATGGTGAATACAAAATTATGTTTACATACTGATACCATAGTTCCACTAATCCTTTCTTAAGATAAATCAATATTTAGCACAATAATACATCTACTCTTGATAAACCCACATTTTTGGGCAGTGGTGGCACATATGTTTAATTCCAGTACACAGGAAGCTGAGGCCTGTGGATCTCTGTAAGTTCCAGGCCAGTCTGGTTTACAGAGAGTTCTAGGACAGCCTTCAGAGAGAAATCTTGTCTCAAGAAAACAAAGCAAAACAAGCAAACAAAGTGTTAAATCCACACTGTGGTTATTAAAGAGCTGGGAAGATCTAATGGATGGCATGGATACATGGGTAATGATGGTTACATATTTATCATGCTATTTTTGTTGTTGTTTTATTGTTTTTTTTTTTCAGATAATTCTTTTCTCTGTAGCCCTGGCTGTTCTAGAACTCACTCTGTAGACCAAACTGACTTCAGACACACAGAAATCTCCCTGCCTCTGCCTCCTGAGTGCTGAGATAAAAGGCTTGTGCCACCACTGACCAGTTTAGCAAGCTATTTTTAGGTACTGACCCTGTGAAGTACTTGGCCTCCCTCCCACCCCCCAAACAGGGTCTGAAACAGGCTGACCTTGAGCTCCCCAAGAATGACAGTGCACTTCTGATTGTCTTTAGTGTGAGGATTGTAGACATGGGCCACCATGCTCAAGTGGCTTCCTGAATGTAGACAAGTGCTCAACTGAGCTAAATCCCTAGCCTGCTGAGGAATAAGGGTTTTGTTGTTGTTTGTTTTTGTTTTTTGTTTTAAGGTTGGGAAGTTGGTAATAGGTTTCTTTGGCTGCAACTTTAAACATGTCCCTTTTCTGAACAAATTATAAGATTTCCAAGTGTTTTTATAGTGGCTTTGCTCTTGGTTCTTATCATAAATCATAACTAAAAGCATCCATTAATATCTGTGTGAGATAGTCTGAACACTGTGCTACCCAGACATTGCCTCTTTCAGGTTACTCCTTTAAACTCAGTTTCCCACGGGGTCAAAGTTTGGACAAAAATGAAGACAAGTTCTTTACCAGAATGTACATCGTGGTGCATTTAGCCTAATTCTAGATAGAGTCATCATTCCATCTGTAAAATCATGAGCCTGCCTTTTTGCTGTCTGCATTGAGGGCAGCATTCCCCTATTCTGTTCTCTCCCCAGAAAGGCCTTAATAGGCTCTTTTTATAGCATGGTAGGCTTTCTCTAGACTGGTCCTCTAAACCTCCAAACTTCTCCTACAAACTAATGCCAAAGGCTTATGAGCCATATCATCAGCTATAGTCTGTCATAAGCAACAACCTGCCATTGTGGTACCATTTTTCTCAGCCTTCTGTTAGTTGTGGCTGCTTGTGTTTCCACCTGCTGACCCATTTCCCGGGACCTCATGTTCTTCCTTGTGGATTTAGAGATAGGTTTGTTCACAGAGAGGATGGGGAGAACACCTAGTGAAGGAGGGAGCTGTGTTCTGAAGGACTGGGGATGTCTGAATGTCTCCCACATCTCACCTTTGTGTATCTTTCTCATCACTTTTTACTGTTTCTCTATCTTTCCTTTCTAGGCAGTGGGAAGGAACACAAGAGAAAGTGTTTTAGCTCTTTTCTAAAAGTTATTTTCATTATCTTACCTATTTATTGGGTGGGTATGCATTTGTGTTGTGATCTGAGGACAGCTTGTGGGGATCATTTCTCCTCCTCCCAACATGGGTCCTGAGATCAAACTCAGATGGTCAGCCTTGGTGACGAGTGCTGTTATCAACTGAGCTATCTTGCCAGCTCTTCTAGCTTTCCTTTATTTTATTTACTTATTTATGATTATTTAGAGACAGGATCTCTCTGTGTAACACTGGCTGTCTAGCACTCACAAAGATTCACTTGCCTCTTCCCCAACAGCTGGGATTAAAGACATGTAGACCATTCTTGGCAATTTTTTGTTATTTTGTTTTGAGACAGGGTGTCTTTGTGTAGCCCTGGCTGTCCTGGAATTCGATCTGTAGACCAGGCTGGCCTTAAACTCATAAAGATCAGCCTGCCTCAGCCTCCCAAGTGCTGACATCAAAGGCTAGCACCACTCCCCACCCCTGACTGGCAGGCAATTTTTATCTTAAACTCTGCTTTGGTGTATTTGGGTAGGCAGTTGAAGGCTCTTGAAGATTTGAGAGAAAATGCTTTTAAATTCCAGGTGGTTATCTTATACAGATAACACTTAGAAGTAATCCCATATCTCTTTAATCCTAGTTAAAAGAACTAGTCAAGAATTGATAGTGAGACAAATAGAGAGGTTTTTGAGTACCTCTTTCTGCATGAATGTGCACAGTGAAGTCATAACTCATAAAAGAGGAGGAAAGTGTCAAACTGAGAGGGCAGGCAGGCATTGTTACATCACAGCAAGAATCCTCTCAGGGATGTGGCTCTTAAAACTGGGGCCATGGTTAATCTTGTAGGAAAGGGATCAACTCTGTATATAAATAGTTTTATTAAAATCTTCAGTTGCCTACAAGCCTAATTATGACTGCCACCATGAAAGTTGTTTGTATCTTAGACAGCTGCTCAGGAAGCCATCCTACATGCGTCTGCAAATGGCATATCTTCACTGTCCAAGGACTACTGCATGTATTATAACAACAACTGGACACAGCTTCCACGTTCCCTAGAAAATGCAGTAAGTAAATAACATCATAATTATCAATAATAGTAAAAATGTTGAATATGAGTAATTATTTTAGGATATAGATCAGTTATGATATTTGGTGATTAATAAATACTTCATTGACTTTGGTCAAGTCTTCTTCTCCGTAAAAGAAATGAAAGAAATGACTTAGGGAAATTTTTGTTTGTTTTAGTGAGACAAGGTCTCACTAAATAGACTTGACTAGTCTGGAATTCACTATGTCAACCAGGCCGTCCTTTAAGTCTTAGAGATCTGCTTGTCTCTGCTTCTAGAGTGCTAGCGTTAAAGGCATGTGCTACTGTATTGGGCTTGGTTGAGGGAAGTTTTTATTTATTTTTATTTTATGTGCGTAGGTGTTTTATCTGAATGTATGTCTCTATATCACACGCATTCCTGGTGCCTGCAGAGGCCACAGAGGATGTTCTATGCCTGGAGTTTCAGATAGTTGGGAGCTGACATGTGGGAGCTGAGAACTGAACCTGGGTTCTCTAGAAGAGCAACCAGTATTCTAAACTGCTGAGTCATTGTTCCAGTCCCAGATTGAGGGAATTTTAAAATTTTTACCTCTAATCCTTGTTGTTTGTCATAAAGTTGTTTTTGTTAGTTAACTCAGGCATAAGTACATGCTATACCCCTGAAAACATTGTACCAAAGCAGTGTTGGGGTCTCATCTCTGAATACTATTGGGAAAATGAGGTATTTATCTCATCAAAAACATTTCTTGTTTTCAGACTTCTTTTAGCTTGATGAATCTGACTGGCACACCACTGTGCCACTTTTCTGATATTCCTCCTGATGGCATAAAGAATAAGTCAGTGGTGGTACACTGGGGACCCTGCCATTTTCTTGAAAAAGCCAAAATTGCACAGAAAGGCGGTGCTGCAGCATTGCTGATTGCCAACAACAGTGTCCTAGTAAGTCCTAAAACAGAGTGACTGCTATTGTGCCTATAACATCAAGTCTCCCAGGAATTGAGTTAACTCTTCTGTGTATTCTAGAAGCTGAAGTTTTAATAACATTGTAGATTATTTTTTATTAATATATATTCTAGATTTAGTATTAAAACTTATTTATTTATTTATTTATTTATTTATTTATTTATTTTTTGGTTTTTCCAGACAGGGTTTCTCTGTGTAGCCCTGGCTGTCCTGGAACTCACTCTGTAGACCAGGCTGGCCTCGAACTCAGAAATCCACCTGGCTCTGCCTCCCAAGTGCTGGGATCAAAGGCGTGTGACACCACTGCCCGGCTTATTAAAACATTCTAATTGGAAAGTTTTATAGTTTTTGTTGTATTTCTAGAGTTGAGATGACTTGGTTGAAAACAAATATGTATATAATATATGTTTATATAGTGTCTATACAGTAGAATGCATATATAGTATATATCAGTTGAAGTTCATGTTAAAGTATGGAGCTTTGTTTTTATAGTTTGACATAATATTTGCACTTAGTGTAGTAGTATGTATGTTTTTATTCTGTAAATAATCACGTTTCATATTTTTTCTTTTAGATTCCTTCCTCAAGAAACAAATCTGCATTTCAAAATGTGACTATACTAATTGCAGTTATAACCCAAAAAGACTTTAAAGATATGAAAGAAGTAAGTTAATCATTGCATATTAGATGTTTACAAAGTTACGGTTGTTAACATTTAATCATCATGCTTTGTTTGCTTGCCTGTTTGTCTGTTTTAAGACTGGGTTTCTCTGGGTAGCTCTGACTGACCAGGAACTTGCTCTGTAGACCAGGCTAGCCTTGAACTCAGAGACCCACCTGCCTCTGCCCCCCCAAGTGCTGGGATTAAAGGTGTGCACCACCACCAGGCTCCAATTACTATACTTAATTTTATTATTCATTCTCCATTTGCTAACAAGAAACTTGAAGAGCTGAGTAAGGCTTCAGTTGTCCTGTCTTCTTAGCTGTGCGATGGAGTGTCCACCCTAGCATGAAATGTAGATGCTGCTGCTGTACTCTCGTCGAGGAGATTCATTCCTGTGTTTAACTGTCACTTTGCCCTTCAGACTCTTGGAGATGATATTACCGTGAAAATGTATTCTCCATCCTGGCCTAACTTTGATTATACTCTGGTGGTTATTTTTGTAATTGCTGTGTTCACAGTGGCATTAGGAGGATACTGGAGTGGACTTATTGAATTGTAAGTTTAATTAAACTTTTTATGGCTTCCTGATAAATGGTTTTAAATAATGTTTCATGATAATCCTAATAACAAGATTATTTAATTTTTTTATGGCCTCAGCATATAGTGAGTGATTGCCATTAAGACCAGATTGTGGGATTGTCTTTTTTGTTTTTTAATAGAAAAGTTGTAGACACCTGAATTGTTGATAAGGAAACAGTTATGTCACATCAAATGCTCATGGAGGCTACTGAGATGTCTCAGTGGATAAAGTGTTCATCGAACAAGTGTGGGGATCTGAGTTCAAAACCCTAGAGCCCATGTAGAGCTGGACACAGTTGTGTATGTTTGGCATCCAAGTGCTCCTGCAGCACTGTGAGAGTCAGAGATAGGAGTCTGTGGAAGCTGATGGGCAGATGGACTTGCCTACAATAGGGTCTACAGTAGAAGACAAGGATTAAGGGTGACTCCTGAGGCTGTCTTTCAATATCTGTACATGTATTCTGGCAGGTACACACACACACACACACACACACACACACACACACACACGGAGTACAATTTCATAGCAGGAACTGGGAATGTAGCTCAGTGATAGAGCTTTCACCTAGTGTTTTGCACAAATTTTGTCTTGTTTGAACCGCTGCACTCCCAAAAGAATACAATTAATGGTAGTATTTAATGTATACCTGGTAATTGGTTCTCTTTCTTGAAATTGTTTATGAATGCTACATGTGATTCATGTCTGTAATGACAGTACTTAAGAGGTGGCGGTCTTCCTTCACTACATAGTGAGGTGTAGGCCACCCTGGGCTGCTTATGACCCTACCCGATGCAGCCCTCTTCCCCCAGTGCTTTATGTAGTGTACACACCTATAATCCCACTACTCAGGAGGACCATGAGTTTGAAAGTGCCCTGGGTTACATATTAAATTTAGGTCCTACTTCTGCTACATCATAAGGCTGTGTCTCAGAAGGGGGGGTGCCTTGTGCTTCTTAATACATGGAATATGAATATGTGAGTTATTATGACTTACATGTGTACTACTGTACATTTTTAAAATTTATTTTCAATGACAGATACCAGTGGTTGGCATCTTTTCCCACTTCGGTACCACATTAGTAACCCTTGTGTTAAAGCCCTGACATCCTAATCTAGAGTTCTAGTGAAGGCGTTAGTGTCTCAATGAGAAAGTAGTGTGTTCCTTAACAGTTACAAAGGTGCAAATGTTTAGACATAAAGTTTTATTTCGCCAAAATCTTCAGTGAACTAGATTTAATTTAATGATCTAGGCCAGAAAAATGCATGATAGGAAGTCTAACTGTATATAGATGGATAATGTTGTTTGTAAGTTTATATCTTAAAACTTAACTATGTCAACATAAATAGGTCTCCCAACTTGGTTGTATGAACATCCACAAACATTAATTTGTTAATATGATAAATGTCATCTCTCCTAACAGTTTTGTTTTCACACACACACAAAAAAATCTTATTTCAAAGTTGTGTAATGGCAGATTATCTCTGGAGAGTAGGAATATAGGATGTTTTAGTTTCTAGATTAAATATCTCTTTCTGTTCCTTATTTTTTACTTTGTGATTAACTTTCAACTGGTGTTAGAAAGGGATTTTTAAAAAAATAACTGTACTTGGTAAAAGCTTGCTGATGTTTTCCTGTGTGTGTTTATACAGGGAAAACATGAAGTCAGTGGAAGATGCAGAAGATAGAGAGACAAGAAAAAAGAAGGAAGATTACTTAACATTCAGTCCTCTCACGGTTGTTGTGTTTGTGGTCATCTGCTGTGTAATGATTGTCTTACTATATTTCTTCTACAAGTGGCTTGGTAAGAAACTGGATTTTATGTGTGCTGCTTTGAATATATACCCATATATAAATTCTCAAGAGGCTGAGGCCAGCCTGGATAAATAGTAATCTCTAGGCCATCCTAGGCCACAGAACTATGGAGTAAGAACCTATCTCAAAAAACTAAACTTTTGGGACTGGAGAGATGGTTCAGCTGTTAAGAGCATGCACTGCTCTTGTGAAGAACCCCAGTTTGGTTTCTAGCACTGTGCTAGGTAGCTCATAAGCACCTATAACTCCAGCTCCAGCAAGATCCAATGCCTCTGGTTTCTCAGGTACTTATATACATGTACATACCCACCTATATACACATAATCAAATAAAAAAGACATTTATTTTACCCTAAAGCATATTTCAATTTTTAGTGAGAATTACAAATGAATTTTTTTTTCCAAGATAGGGTTTCTCAGTGTAGCCCTGGTTATCCTGAAACTTGCTCTGTAGACCAGGCTAGCCTTGAACTCAGATTTTGACCTGTCTGTGCCTCCCAAATGCTGGAACTAAAGGTGTGCATCACTGTTCCCAACTAACAAGTGGAATTTTTGATGTGGAAAGAAAATCATTCAACCTCATAATTATCCTAGAACATAGTATTAAATTATGATTGGCCAATGTTTTGTGTGGTATTGCGAGATTTTGTTTACCTTAAACGAGTCTTCATGACTTAGATGGCCGCTATCTTCTAGTATATTATAACTTGACGGAATTGTACTGACTTGCTAAGGCTTTTCCTTGCCTTTTTGTTTGTTTAGAAACAGGCTTTCTCTGTGTAGCCTTGGCTGTTCTGGAAGTTTCCTTGCCATTTTGTGATTAAGATATACTTAAAGTAACTGATGTTGACCTTGAGAGTGCTTTCTGGTAAACTCTTTACATTTAAGACAAAACTAGCTGGAATTAAGTTATGATAAAGTTATTCCTTATGTGGAATCCTTTCCAAAGTGGTAGCACACTGTTGGACAAGGCACTAAAGCTCCAGAATGGCCTCAGGAAATATAATCTCTACCAGGCTGTTACAAATTGGGTTAGGCAATTTTGCAGAGGATAGACCAAAAATCCAGTTGACAGGACATGGAGTGTCTATCCACTGTCCTCTTCCTACACATAGCCAGTGATCACAGGGACTCATGCAGTGTCCATGATACATATATTAGCTTATCTGGTCCTTACAGCAACCCAGTATTCGTCTCATGAACTTGATCTGTTAGATATGAACACTGGGAGATTTAGAGTGGCTTATCTAGCTTCACCCAAACCCGAACCACCCCAGATTTACTGTGTTTAGATCAGCCTCTGTTTCTCACCCCCATCCCTGAGTACACATCTGAAGTTCAAATATGCCTTGAAAATGGAGGTATAGCTTGTATTTCTATCACAATATTTTCTAGAAAGTTCATAAAAGGAATATTGTAAAGTGTAATAACCCCTCCTTTATAACATCACAGTAGTAAAATGTCTTTAAATAATTTTCAAATAAATCTGGATAGCATATAATGCCCATCAAATTTTACTACCTTGATATCTCATTTCAACAAAGAAGTTTCTTTGAATGGATTTGAGTGTTTGTGCTTTTTTCTTTTTTTTCCCGTTGAGCCAACATTATCCTGTGTAGCTCTGGCTAGACTGGTAACTTTCTGTACAACCAAATCTAGTCTTGAGCTGGTGGCTACCATGCCTGGCCGGATTTGGTTTGAACATAGGTCAAATTGTTATAGATAAATTCTCCATGGGAAAGCATGGATAAGATGGTTGGTTGATACCCAGGAAAGATATTTGTTTTCATCTCTAAATTACATTTCTAAAGAATCTTATTAATAGTTTATTAATCCAAAGCCAGGCCCAGTGGCACATGCAGAGACAGGCAGATCTCTACAAATTCAAGCCTGATCTACACAGCAAGTTCTAGGCCAGCCTAGGCTACCAAAAAAATTTTTTTTAATCACTCAGAGACTATAAGTCAGTTGGTAGAGTACTTACCTAATATATACAAAGTCCTGGTTCGATCTCAGGTGTCAAGGTGACCAGATGTGGTGATGCACATCTGTAGTGCCAGACTCTGGAGGCTGAGAAAGAAGGACAGAAGGTCAAGGTTTTCAAGGTTATTCTTGTCTGTACAGCAAGTTCAAAGCCAGTTTGAACTACATGAGGCACAAAAAGAGGACTAGGAGGTGTAGCCTAGTTGATGAAGTGCTTACTGTACAAGGGAGACTAGAGTTCAGTCCTAGGACCCATGCTGAGTGCCCCACCCACCCCTGCCTCCAGTCTTTTCATTCTAGCACTGGGTAGAAGCAGGTTGATCCCTGGAGCTTGCTAGCCAGTCAGGGTGGTCTGCTTGGCAAACTTCCAGGCCAGTGACTCATTCTGTTTCAAACAATTAAAACAAAAGAAAATCAAGACATCTGAGGAATAATACCATGTTTGTCTTCTAGTCTCTACACATACCTACCTACATGTGTACACCTACATACACACAAACATGCACATATGCAAAGGTTCATCAGTCCTTCTGTTCTTACAGTTAAGTATTTATAAATATTTACAATGAACACGTCACTTTGAATTATTGAATAATAAAAAAATATAGAACTATCTTCAGCCACATAAAGCAACCCTGGTAGTGTTTAATGCAAATAAAACCACAAGTACTGCATCCTGTTTTAAAACTCTAGGTATACATATTTGCATCTTAGCAACTACTTCAGATAATGATATAGTTACTAGTTGAAAATATGATCTTGCCAGGCGGTGGTGGCGCACGCCTTTAATCCCAGCACTTGGGAGGCAGAGGCAGGCGGGTTTCTGAGTTCGAGAGTTCAAGGCTAGCCTGGTCTACAGAGTGAGTTCCAGGACAGCCAGGGCTACACAGAGAAACCCTGTCTCGAAAAAAAAAACAAAGCAAAACAAAACAAAAATATATATATATATATATGATCTAATGAAGAGAGCTAAAGAATCAACCTCTGTCTTGTTCTTTTCTAGTTTATGCTATGATAGCAATTTTCTGCATAGCGTCATCAATGAGCCTGTACAACTGTCTTGCTGCATTGATTCACAGGATGCCATGTGGACAGTGCACGTATGTATCTATTAGTGTATGATGTAATTAGTATTTCAACTTAATACAGGAAAAGTGAGGTGTTGCTTTAACCCTGTATATTCAGTATGCCTTGTATTTATGTCTGCTTGAGTTTAAAGTCAAGAATGTGTTTGAGATTTTTTGTTCGTTTGTTTGTTCTGTTTTGTGAGACAGGGTTTCTCAGTAGCCTGGTTGCCCTAGAACTATCTTTGTAGACCAGTCTGGTCTCGAACTCACAGAGATCTGTCTGCCTGCCTCTGCCTCCTAAGTGCTGGGACAAGGTGTGCATTACCTTAGTGCTAGGACTAAAGGTGTGTGCCACTATGCCTGGCTGTGTTTGGGATCTTTACATTGAATTCCTGAGACATTTCAAGTGTTCAATAGCCATATGTAGCTAGCGGCCATCAATCCTGGAAAGCACTGGAAACATTTCCATTACCACAAAGGATTTTGTTGAACTGATTATTATGCCTCGTTAATGTAAAACCATGACATCAAGATTAATATTTCAGTCACTTCTTGTTAATGGTTGGAACTTTTTTGCATCAAGTGAACATTATTTTTATCTGCAGCATAAATTAACTATTTTATTTATTTTTAGGATTTTGTGTTGTGGCAAAAACATTAAAGTGAGCCTGATTTTTCTTTCTGGACTGTGCGTCTCAGTTGCTGTTGTGTGGGCTGTGTTTCGAAACGAGGATAGGTATGATAACTCTAGTTCACTTTACATTTAAGGATGCGTAGTGTTGTATCTTTTCCTGAATCATATTGATTGTGATTATTGTGGATTTTTTGTTTTTATTCAAGAGCATATCTTAAAACAAGGTTATTTGTTTTTTAATGAATAAGTTATTTAACAGGATCTCCCCATTGCTAGCCTGTAACTCTAGCTTTAAATTTTCAGTGACTCTATCTCCTGTAGGCCAACAAACCCAGCAGATGAACACATCTTAGGCTAAGGAGTTGAGCTCATGCAGGGAAGGAAATCGTGTTATACCTTAAGCACCTAGACTTAAAATATGCTCAGTTATGGGATGTTGCAGTGTAGTGTCTTATAACCTCAACAAATGGTGTCTGCACCGATTTCCAGAATGTTTTGTTTTGTTTTTGTTTTTGTTTTGTTTTGTTTTTCGAGACAGGGTTTCTCTGTGTAGTCCTGGCTGTCATGGAACTCACTCTGTAGATCAGGCTGGCCTCGAACTCAGAAATCCACCTGCCTCTGCCTCCCAAGTGCTGAGATTAAAAGCGTGTGCTACCACTGCCCGGCTTAGAAATCTTTTTATAATTGCCAAAGTTATTGAGTCTCTCATTGGTTGCTAGTTATACATATTAGTTTCTAATAAGTAAATTGTGTAGCTTTCACTTTGTGTTCAACCTGACTAGATATGAACACGAGGATTTTATTGGCAGCTGCCTTTGTAGAAGGAGACACGTAAAGCTGCAAAGATTAAGGTGAATGTGTACTTGTATCTGACATTCTTCTGAGGAAGCCTTGGCAGTCATTATTCTCCCATCACAGTAACTAGCTGAGGAGACAGTTCATAGCCATAACCGTAATGGTGTAACCATAGTGACCTGTTTATTTAACTTTTATCTGAAGAGAGTGGAATGAAATAATAGGTTGATCTCTCTCTCTTTCTCTCTTTTCATTTTAGGTGGGCTTGGATTTTACAGGATATCTTAGGAATTGCTTTCTGTCTCAACTTAATTAAAACAATGAAGTTACCCAATTTCATGGTAAAATGTTATTTTATAGAGCTTAATAATAATTTTTTTCTTTTTAAAACAATATGATTGACATATAATTTGCATATAGTAAGACAAGCTCATTTTAATTACTCTTGAAATGTCCCAAATGTATATGTGGCTTTTGTAACTTCCATCCACTTGAGCTACAGACCATTTCCCAGGCTTCAGAAAGCTGTTCTGCCTGTTTATGCTCACTTCTAACCCAGGCCAGGCCAGCTGCCGAGTGTTTCTATCTGTCATGCTCATGCCATAAAACCTTGTGAGACTAAATATCGGGGAAGAACATTCTTTAATTCAGCAATGAACCTAAGCAAATGGGATACAGGAAGTAAAGATTTTTTAAATGACATATGAAATAAAATTATACATAGTGATAACCATGAAACATCTTTTAAAATAGTGTTCAAATGTGTATCTCCATGCTTGCTTGTATTTGCAAAGTAATTTAATGTGTTAGTTTAGATGCGGGAAGTTTGACCTTTTAAATTCCTTTTTTTCTCTGACAGTCGTGTGTGATACTGCTAGGCCTTCTCCTCATCTATGACGTGTTCTTTGTCTTCATAACACCCTTCATCACAAAGGTATGACCATTTTAAGCTCATGAGGAAGCCTTCAAAACAATGAAACCTTTTAAAAATCTTGTTTGTTTGCTTTGAGACAGGGTCTACTCAGCATAGCCTTGTCAGGTAGAGAACTCTCTATGTGTAGGAGGCTGGCCTTGGACTCACAGAGACCTGCCTGTCTCTAGATTAAAGCCGTGTGTCCCCACTCACTGAACTACCACATGCAGCTCCTTAAATATTTTCTTAAGTATTTATTTTTATTTCATGTGTATAAGTGAGTACCTGCGTGTGTGTGTGTGTGTGTGTGTGTGTGTGTGTGTGTGTGTGCGCGCGCGCACCTCATGGATGCCTGGTGCTCACAGAGGCCTGCAGAGGGCATTCTTTCCCCTGACACTGTTGTTCCAGACCTTCAGATGCCACCCGTTGTGGGTATTGGAATCCAGGTTCTCTGCCAAAGCAGTGGGTACTCTTAATGCTGAGCCATCTTGCTAGCCTCAAGAAGGGAACCTTAATTCTCTTCATAGTGTTGGTTTTGCAGATTTTTATTCCCTGAAGGAAATTGCCTTTGAAATTGGTCTTTCAGTAGAGGGTATTTTAATAACCAAGCTTTCAGTTGCTCATTGGAGAAAATGAGGAACTTCTGATTAGTATAAAGGAAGAATGTGTATAATTTTTCTTTCCTTTTAAAAGTAAGACTTTCTTACAATCAGTGTTTAATGTGGACACTTTAGAGAGGGAGGGAAAGAAGGAAGAAATGTGTCATTGATACCTTCATTTCGGAGAACTAGTCTGAGAATAACAAAGACCAGCATGCCAGCTCTGCAGGCCTGGAGTGTACTGCATACCCTGGCAGCCCCTTCTGTGCTTTAGGTCCCAGTCTACTGCAAGAAGCAATGCCAGCTTTTGATGTCATTAGAGTTTCTTTGGCTGAAGATCTCAACTTGATCTTTCTATTATTATTATTGTTATTATTATTATTATTGTTTTTTTGAAATAAGTTTTCTCTGTGCTGTTTAGGCTGTCCTGGAACTCAATCTGTAGACCAGGCTGGCCTTCAACTCATAGAGATCTACCTGTCTCTGCCTCCCGAGTGCTGGGATTAAAGGGGTGTGCCACCACTGCTAGGCCCAACTTGATCTTTCTATACCAACAAGATCTGTGTCCAGGCTGCTCATTGAGGCCAGGGTGAGGCTGACCTCAGTAACAGTTCAATCCAGGGTTTCCCATTCTCACTTTCTGCCCATTCTGTCCTCTGGTTCTGTGGCCAGAAGCTCCTGCGGCGTATATTCCCTGTTTTCCACCATTTTACCATTCCTCCTTAACACAGTGAGGGAAGTACCAGGCGAGCAGGCGAGCGAGCCAGTTGTCATCCGTTATTTGTTCAGCTTCCTGTCTTGGCCTTTCTCATATCAGGAGCATATTATTAATTATCATCTAGTTCTCCTATTTTCTCTACCATTTTATTTTGTACCTTGCCTTATAACTTTATATTGCCCCTTTATTCTTTGTGTCTCTTAACTATTTCATGTTTGATGATAACAATTTTTCTTAGCATTGGATTTTGTTATTGTTAGTGGTGTACTCAGGGTAGAACCTGGGACCTGTGTATTTTAGCCAAGTACTCTACCACAAAGCCACATCCTTAGCCTCCTCCACTGGGCCTTTATCCTTTCTTTAAACAATATATCATCTATTAAAACACTGTAAAAACCTACACTTCTGACATTTACTGCCAGCCATAAAGACAGACATATACCCTGTAGAGGAGCTAAGATTGCAAGTAGGAAATAAAGATTTGAAACTACCCGAAAGTATTCATACTCAGACTGTTTGACAAGCACTTGCCCATGCCTTAAGGTGAGCTCTTTCAGTCAGTGCCATCACTGAGCAGCAATGCTACAAAAAGACAAAGAGAAAAGCATTAAGTCAGCAAGTGTGAGTTGTAACTGAAACTGGGCATTTTTAAAAAGCATATTTTCAAGCAGGCAAGACAGAATATGCCTATAATTGTAGCATTTAGGGTACAGAGGCAGGAGGATTGCCACAGTTTTTAGCCAGCCTAGATTACAAATCAAGTTCCAGGCCAACCAGGGCTACATAGTGAGATCCTGAGGCAAAAACAAAGCTGTCCAAGCTAGTACAAAACAAAACAGTTCTGAGGAATACTCCATCAGAGTTAGTTAATAAAAGGGAAACACTGTTGATCTTGAACAAGCCTCTAATCTCAAGGCTTGGAAGGCAGAGTTCAGGGCAAGTTAGAAAAACTCTGTTTCAAAAAACAAAACTAAACTAAATCAAAACTGAAACCATTGTCTTTACAAATCAGGTAGTCCTCAGAGTGCACTGGAAGTGCAGCAGTAAATGATAGTCAGGTTTTTGAAGTACTTTTTTTTTTTTCATCTTAAACCTGGTATCAGTTTAATGTCCGATGAAGTCTTAAAGGTACAGGCCTTTTAAAGGATAAAGGCCTTTGAACCTTATTTCTTGTGTGATTAGTTTGTTCTTTCTTTCTTTCTTTCTTTCTTTCTTTCTTTCTCTCTTTCTCTCTTTCTCTCTTTCTCTCTTTCTCTCTTTCTCTCTTTCTCTCTTTCTCTCTTTCTCTCTTTCTTATCTTAGGCCTGTGATTTGTAGCAAATCTGTTGTAGTAGAAGTAGCTGGAGGTGCCTTTTGGCACTCATTGCTATAAATGCTCATTTAATACCTTCTCAGTTTGACCCCGTTGTTTTCCTTATGGCTATATGCTTTATTCTTTTTTTTTTTTTTCGATTTTTTTGGTTTTTTGAGACAGGGTTTCTCTGTGTAGCCCTGGCTGTCCTGGAACTCAGTCTGTAGACCAGGCTGGCCTCAAACTCAGAAATCCGCCTGCCTCTGCCTCACAAGTGGTGGGATTAAAGATGTGCGCCACCACTGACCGTCCAAAGATTTATTTATTTTTTTTTTAATTTGAGTACACTGTAGCTATCTTCAGACACACCAGAAGAGGGCGTTGGATCCCATTACAGATGGTTATGAGCTACCATGTGGTTGCTGGGAATTGAACTCAGGACCTTTAGAAGAGCAGTCGGTGCTCTTAACCACTGAGCCATTTCTCCAGCCCTATATGCTTTATTCTTATTAGGTAACTAGAAATGTATGTCAGATGCTGCTCATTTCTGGTTTTAATGATTTTCGAAATCCAATTTGTACGTCTTCTCCCTGGTCTGCTGATGCATTTTTTTTTCTATGAAACATAAAAGCAGACGCCTCACAGAGAGTGTGGTGGTGCACACCTGTAGCCCAGCACTTGGTTGCAGAGGTAGGCAGATCAGTAGTTCAGGGTCACCCTTGGCTAGATGAAAACAACAGAAAGGAGGACATTTTGTGTAGTTTTAGCTTCAAAGTTTCACCTCAGACAGACAGGGATACAGGAGAAAACTTGTTCTTGAGCACCTTGTCTAGTCCACAGATAAGACTTCAGCAGACACAGGGAGGGAACTACCACTCAGGAGAATGCTGATTGGAACAAAGGAAGGAGACAGAGTTGACCCTGAGTGAGAATCCAGCTGAGGAAGGTTGTCATATTCTATGAGGTTGGGTCTTTTCAAATTTGGCTTTGTAGTTGTGTTGTGGGAAATGCCAGAAGGTCAAAAGCATTTTTATTCAATAAGGTTACTTATATTTGGTAGAGAGCTAAATTTAAAAGATTTTAATATCTTCTTTTTTTCTGATCTGATGGTTTAAGAACCATAATATACGTAGTAAAAAAAGAATTAAAATACTGAAAGTTCATAACCTATTAACATATTGGATGTCAGTATAAGCCAGATCTCCAGGTATACTTGAATGATCTGTGTATATGCCGACCTGATAATTACTGAGCTCCAGTAAAGTGGAGTGAGTGGTGTGCTAGCTGGATTTTGTTTCATATTCAATATCTGCTGTTTGTAGAGTCCAAGGAAGAAGCAGTTGATAGCCCAGGTTCAGTTGGCAGTAGGCTATGTGTCGTGGGCTGTTAGTCATCCTTGAACTGAGGCAGGTTCTTCTCTTTTGATGACTGACTGACATCTCTTCTTCCCTTTAGAATGGTGAGAGCATCATGGTGGAACTGGCTGCTGGGCCTTTCGAGAATGCTGAAAAGGTGGGGATGGTGTGAACGGCAGTGTTCACCCAGCTACTGCCTGCCTCTCTGTTTCCTACTGTAGCTCATTCATTGGTCATGGGTGCATGCTAAGGTGTTATCAAACTTCTTTCTCACAAATATAGCCATTTTCTTAGTTATTCTAAATTATTAAATACCTATTGACTTGGGTTTCATCCTAGAATGATGGAAACTTTGTGGAAGCCACTGCTCTGCACTCAGCTCCCCATGAGAAAGTAAGGATTGTATTTCAGATAAGTTCATTGGACTTTAAATCATACCCTCTGTGAGGAGGCTCTTCTTTGGGTGGGAAAAAATGTAGACTGACCAAAACAAAACAACACAACAAAACTTGTCAAGGTCTGAGTCCTATTCTTGGTAAAAAAAAAAAAAAATACAAATTTAAAGGTTAGCTGTGGGGGGACTATGTTCATACTGTTCATTCTCCATGTGTTGGATATAATTTCCTAAAACTACATGTCTTATTCCTTCAAGTTTTTTGTGCAATCAGAGTTTATGTATGTGTAAGTTTGTTTATGTCGTCTTAAGTTCAAGTTTTTTTTCAAATAATCAATGTAAAAACATTAAAACTATTACTACAGTGTCAGTGTTTCCCTTCCTAAAAGAAATATTAGGAAGAGACTTACTGGTTCGTTCTCTCTCCCTCTCTCCCTCCTTCCCTTTCCTTCTCCCTCCTGTCCTCCCCCTCCTCTCTGATTTTCTTTCTTACAGTTGCCAGTAGTTATCAGGGTGCCAAAACTGATGGGTTACTCAGTCATGAGTGTATGCTCTGTGCCTGTTTCAGTATTGGGTTTCGGAGATATCATTGTACCAGGTGAGTGACTATAATAATTTTAGCAAAACTATACTTACAGTTTTAAGGATGATATTTACAGTATCTGGAAAAGTTATAAAGCTCTGTATTTTTGACTGTTATTAGAACTGGGATCAATGACAAAGGTTAAAAAAAATGCATTGTGAAGGGCAAAAGAGAAATCAGCCCTCTGGACAGCCAAGGTAAAATTTCTGCTGCTGAAAGGTATCTTAGAACAGCAAGGATCCATTCATCCTTCTCTAGAGGAACCTGTCTGTGATGTTTCTTTTCCTCCTATTTGATAGTAATAGTTGCATTTTAGGGCGTGCTTTAGGTATGTCAGCAAGGTAGGGTTGAAGAAGAAAAGGAAGAGATCCACAGCTTACATGGCTTTATAATAAAAGACAATCCGGTGGGAAGCCAGTCACAGTCTGTTGCTTGGGGAAGGCAGACACCCGTTGGAAGCCTAGAGGTTTCAAGAAGCACAGACAGGGGGACCAGCCTAGGCTAGGACACTGGATGTGAGAGCCGGGCTAGATATGGGGGAATTGTGGAAGGGAGGATTAAAGGGGCTTACCTGGCTAGACACTGGAGATGCACATATGAATATACTTATTTAATACATACAGCATGAGATTTTTTTTCTTCTAAAAATGAGTATTGAGACCTTTTTTTTTTTTTGCTTGTACATTTGCATATATCTGTGAGAGCTTGTATTTTGTTTTTTTAAAATTCTTAGTATTGGGGCTGGAGAGATGGCTCAGCAGTTACAAGACTTGCTCTTGCAGAGATCTCAGGTTCAATTCCTAACACTCATTGTGAAGTGACCCAAACTCTGCAAGTTCAATTCTAGGGGATTTGATCCCTCTTTTGACAGGCACCAGACACACACATGGTGTACATAAATACAGGCACAATCAGTGTTCAAACTCGTGAAATAAATAAACATTTTAAAAATACAATTCTTGCTGGGCAGTGGTGGCGCACACCTTTAATCCCAGCACTTGAGAGGCAGAGGCAGGCGGATTTCTGAGTTCGAGGCCAGCCTGGTCTACAGAGTGAGTTCCAGGACAGCCAGGGCTACCCAGAGAAACCCTGTCTCAAAAAAAAAAAAACCAAACAAACAAACAAAAAAACAAACATAAAATACAATCCTTTGTATTAAAACTTAAGTCAGTCTTCTAAATATCATTTAAAATTGCTTTTCTTGATATACTCTCAATGTATTTTTAAACCCTCATATATTTGTTCATTTATATAAATTGAAAAAAAAAGTATTTTTTATATGCAACATAGTTTTGAAGCATGAATAGAGTGTGGAATAACAAGCTGAATGACAAAGGTTACCTCACCTTTTTTTTTTTTTTTTTTTTTTTTTTTTTGTCATGAGAACACTTGAAATTCAGTCAGTAGGTTTCCAGACTAATACATTGCTCATAACAACCATCAATGTGCTGTTTGATGAGTCTCTGGAACTTATTTCTATCTGAGTGAACTTTGTGTCCTTTGATCAGTATTTTTTTCCTCAAATTCTCCCCAGTTCCACTGTTTGACTCTGCTTCCATGAGCTAAGTCTTTGAAGTTTTATTTACAAGTGAGGTAATACAGTGTTTGCTTTTCTATGGCTGGCTGCTTCTTGCTTAACAGAGTGTCCTTCAGATTGATCACAATGCTGTTACCACAAATGACAGGATTTCCATCCCATCTACTCTTTCTTCTCTCTCCCCAGTACTCTGTCTTCTCTTTCATGTCTCCCAACCCACCCCCCAGTGTGTGTGTGTGTGTGTGTGTGTGTGTGTGTGTGTGTGTCCCCGGGTGTTGGTGTACATGGAGGCCAGAGACTGATTGATGTCCCTCTCTCTCCACCTTATTTATTCTTTGTTTGTTTCTTTGTTTCTTCCTTCCTTTTTTTTGAGACAAGATCTTTCTACATAGCCCTAGGTATTGGAGGAACTTGCTATGTAGGCCAGGCTGGCTTTGAACTCATAGAGATTCTTCTGCCTCAGTCTCCTGAGTGCTGGGATTAAAGTTGTATATCACACCATATCTGGCTCTTTAAGAATATTATTTATGTATTTTATTTCTTTATTGTGTGTGTGGATTTTTTGCCTGCCTGTATCTCTGTATACTATGTACATGCTATGCCTCTGGAAGCCAGGAGAGAACATCAGATCTTTGGGATTGGAGTTACAGACGGTTGTGAGCCACCAGTTGGGTGCTGATGAACCCAAGTCCCCTAGAAAAGTAGCCAGTGCTCTTAACTACTGAGCCATCTGTTCAAACTCAACATTATTTTTTGAGATAGGAGCCTCACTGAATATGGAGCTTGCTGATTCAGATAGGTTGGACAGCCATTAAAATCCACCTGTCTCCCTCCCCTTAGCACTGAGATCATAAACAGGTGCTATTACATGCGGGTGCTTGGAATCCAAATGCAGGACAGTGCATGCAGCAAGCTTCATCCACTGAGCCATCCCTGCAGCCAAGTTTCCTTTTTAAAAGATGAATATTACTTGGTTTTGTATATGTACTACATTTTCTTTATCTATTCATTCATATAAGTACTGAAATTGGTTTTATATCTTTGCTGTTCTGAATATCGAACATGTCTCTTTACCATACTAATTTCATTTCCTTTGGCTATATGCCCAGTACTGGAATTGCTGAGTCACATCTTAGATTTGTTTGTTTGTTTAAGGCTTCCTTGATATGTAGCCCAGGCTGTCTCAGTCTCCTGAATCCTTGAACTACAAGCTAATGTCTCTGGGCTTAGTTTGTTTTTAATTTTTTGTTATTTGTTGTCAAGCACTTAAGCTTACTAAGCAAACCCAAGAAATGCTGATAAATCATTTGCCCTTTTTCTCATTGAGGTTTTTTGTTTGTTTGTTTGTTTGTTTGTTTTACTGTTGGCTTCTTCAGGATCCTCAGATGTGTTAGGTACCTATCAGCCCTTATCAGATGTGTTTTTTTGGATACTCTTATTGCATAGGCTGTATCTTCTATTGATTGCTTCCTTTGCTATGTAGAAGATTTCATGTCATTCCATTTGTCTACTCAATATATATTTTAACAAAACTAAAAAAGGTTTTCTCTCTAACATGGAATATTAAGCAACTAATAAAGTTCATGTTTTTCAACTACTGTTGCTTTGCTTGAGGAAAGTGTTTAAACTATCAAATTTTAAAAAATCAACCTGAGGGCTGGAGAGATGGCTCAGCGGTTAGGAGCACTGGTTGCTCTTCCAGAGCTCCTGAGTTCAATTCCCAGCAGCCACATGGTGGCTCACAACCATCTGTAATGCGGTCTGGTGCCCTCTTCTGGTGTGTCTGAAGAGAGCAACGGTGGTATACTCATATGCATAAAATAAAGAAGTAAATCTTTAAAAAAATCAACATGAAACCTCATTCATAATTTTAGATACTTAAATGTTCCCATAATGCAAGAAATAAACATGAAACATGACAACCTGTGTTGTCGCCCATTCTAACAGTTGAATCTGTAATGTTGTCATTGTTTTAAGAAAATAATGTGGATTTTCTTTTAGGCCTGTTGATTGCATATTGTAGAAGATTCGATGTTCAGACTGGTTCTTCTATATACTATATTTCATCCACAGTTGGTAAAATTTGTTTCTTTTTATTATGTTGTGCTATATTGTCTGGAGAAAATGCCAAAGGGCTAAAAGTAGTAGTCTGCTTCTCTCTTACGACTATCACACGAAGTGCTATAGAAGATCTCGTACTTAGCCCTGTGGCTTGTAGCTTGGTTAGTGGAGTGCTTGCCCAGCATACATAGCATCTTAGGCTTGAGCCCCAGATGCACATGCACTAGTGTGATGGCATGTACCTGTAATGCCAACATGTGGGAGGGAGGGGCAGGAGGACTAGGAGTTAAAGACTCTCAGCTGGGGATGGAGGGATGGCTCAGTGGTTAAGAGCACTGACAGCTCTGCTAGAGGTCCTGAGTTCAAGTCCCAGCAACCACATGGTAGCTCACAACCATTCATAATGGTATCAGATGTCCTCTTAAGGAGTGTCTAAAGACACATACAGTGTACTTATTTAAAAAAAAAAAAGTCTCCTTAGCTACAGGAGTCTGAGACCATCCTTGAATATGTAAGACCCTGACTCAATAAGTAAATACATAAATACAAATACAAAAATAAATAGTAAATGTCAAAGGTTCACACAAATTTCTCCCAAAATAGAGTTAATAACAATGCAAGCATTAGTCTAAACAGCTAAATTTTGGTGAGGAGGTAAGTAGCATTGTTTTAAACATATGGAAATAGATTAAACAGTAAATCTAGTAAAAGTTAGTACAGTACTTTCTTTATATAAGCCAAAGCTCATTTAAATAACCTATAAAGGATAGTCAAATTATTTTGGTTTGTTTGTTTGCTTTTCAAGATAGATTTCTTTGTGCAGCTTTGGCTGTAGACCAGGCTGTGCTCAAACTCATGGAGATCCACATGCCTCTGTCTCCCAAGTGCTCTGATTAAAGGCGTGCACCACCACACCTGACCTAAAACATCTTTGAGATCCTTTGTTTGTTTTTTGTTTTTTTAGAGACAGGGTTTCTCTGTGTAGCCCTAGCATCCTGGAACTCAGTCTAGACAAGACTGGCCTCAATCCCAGAAATCTGCCTGCCTCTGCCTCTGCCTCTGCCTCTGCCTCTGCCTCTGAATGCTGGGATTAAAGACATTCATTACCACCACCCAATTATTTTATGATTTTAAATAGTGAAATGTTAGGCTGGAGAGTTAGCACAGCAGTTAAGAGGATATATTTATCTTGCAGAGGACCCAGGTTCAAATCCCAGTTTCTATATGGTAGCTCACAACTGTCAGTAATTTCTGTCACAGAGAATCTAACAACCTTTTCTGATATCTTATGCCCTAGGCATAAACATGCAGGCATACCTACATGGAGGCAAAACACTCATGCATATAAAATAATAAAATAAATCTAAGCATGGTACATACCTTTAAGCTCAGCATTCAGAATCAAAGGAAGGTACATTTGTGAGTTTGAGGCCATCCAGTTCTATAGAGTTCTAGGACTTCTAGGGCTACACAGAGAAACCCTGTCTTAGACACACACCCCATACCACTGCCCTCCCACCTCCATGGTGCTACAAGGAAAAAGAGATAATTAAAATCAGGAGCAGTGGATGTGCACTTGTAATTCCAAGGACTCTGAAAGGTTAGAAGTTCAAGCCTATTCTTGGCTCTGTATCAAGTTCAAGGCCTTGGGTTGCAAGAAACCCCCGACTCAGAAACAAAAATAAATAAATTGAGCTGGGCAGTGGTGGCACACACCTTTAATTCCAGTGCTTGGGAGGCAGAGGCAGGTGGATCTCTGAGTTCAAGGCCAGCCTGGTCTACAGAGTGAGTTCCAGGACAGCCAGGGCTATACAGAAAAACCGTGTCTCAAAAAAAAAAAAAATTAAAAGTTGAGGTTCTACAGGGTGTGTTGGAGCTCACCTTTAATTCCAGCACTCAGAGGCAAGCAGATCTCTGTGAGTTTGACGTCAGCCTGGTCTACATAGCAAGTTCTAGGACAGCCTGAGCTACAAAGCGAGACCTTATCTCAAAAAACAAGTTGAGGTTTTATAAATAGTTTTATAATTTTATTAAATACCAGAAACACAAGTAGTAAATGTTTATCACTTGAATTTTTTAGCATCGTGTATTGATAACCATAAATTTATGTAAATGAATTAATGTTTTGTAGTTGTCTGATAGAGCAGGCAGTCATTACTTCTGTTACTGTTATTGAAATGTTACTACTAGGAAATTTAAAAGAAAAAGCTCTGATACCTCTGAATATTCTGCATAGATATTTCAATATCCAAAGCTCTGAGTGCTTAGGCAAATGGCCTGCACCACACAGCCAGTGATGTCCTTGAAGGTTTTCTAGTCCATATAGAGTTAATGTTGTGATGTTGGAGAATGATGTCACTAGAAATGTCACCCCTGACAGTATGAAAGAAATCTAAGAGAGGCAAGAGCAGGAAGTGCAGAGAGCACGAGAGAAGGAAGGAGAGACAGAGGAGAAGAGGAGGGAGGAAAGAGAGGGGAAACACACTCCATATAGAAACAAGAAAGCAGCTTGAGTACAACATCCTTTAAAGACAGTAACACCCAGTACCAGCCAGCATGATCCAGTCAAGAACACTCAGTCAAAAGGCAGTGCTGGAATACTTGTTAGTTCTGTTGTTACTTTGGGCAGCTTACTCAGCCTTCCTGATCTTCCACCACCTCATCTTTATGTAGCCACACTAAATTGCCTGAGATCCTATATTCATATGATATTCCAGCTCATTAGGAAACATCCAAATGATATTTGGTGTGCAATAGTTAAGGAAATCTGTAGTATGTATTAGGACAAACTTAAGATTTGGTTTATTTTTAGTTATGTGTGTGCCTCTGTGTGGGTATGCCCATACAGGTCAGCACAGGGTCCTGAAGAAGCCGGGACCATCAGACCTTGTTGGAGCTGGAGTCACAGGCAATCGTAAAAGCCCAGCACCCATGTTAGATGACATCTGTTTCTAACACCCATTCTTGGACATCTGACACCTCTAACCTCAAGAGCCTGTGCCCACAGTGACAAATCCACACACAGATACAAACACATAATTTTAAAACTATGTCTTATTTAAATATGTCTTTAGAAATATTTGAAAACTAATATTTTAGTGGGGAAGGAAACCCCATTCCTTGAAGCATGTAAAACTGACCTGCACTTCTGTTTTCCCACAGCCTATGCTGTTGGCATGATAATTACCTTTGTTGTTCTGATGGTGATGAAGACGGGACAGCCTGCTCTCCTCTATTTAGTACCTTGTACACTTATTACTGTCTCAATCATTGCTTGGAGTCGAAAGGAAATGAAGAAGTTTTGGAAAGGTAGCAGCTATCAGGTATGTGTTTATACTTTCTAATTCACCAGCTGATATGCTACAGCAAGTCTTTATGTATCAGAAACTTCATGTTACCCCTGGATGCCCTGAGTTCTTCCTCTGCAGTTCTGCTGGCATCTTCTTGCTGCAGCAGTGGGTCTTTTGTGCCCATCTTGAGTGCCAGAAGCACTGTGAAGTTCCTATGGGAGGACATTGGAGAACACAGCATCGAAACGTACATTCAAATCCACATAAGTAGCATGCAAGGTGCAACTATGAAAATAGGCACTGGGTTTTGAAAATGACAAGAGAAGTTTATAATGAAGCCAGACTGTGGTTGTACAGGCCTTGAATCCCAGTGTTTGGGAGACAGAAGTGGACTCTATGAGTTCCAGACCTGCCTGGTCTACAGAGCGAGTTTCAGGACAGCCAAAGCTACACAGAGACCCTGTCTCAAAAAACCAAAACCAAAACCAAACCCAAAGTTTATAGTAACATACATGTTCTCTCCAGCATTTGAATGTACCAAACTAACTTCAATATCAAAGTTGCTCTTTAAAATTCGTATAACAAAGAAAACCATAATTTCAGAATCTGTTGTTTGAGTTATTTTTTAACAGAGGTAAAAGCTTCACTCCCCCCCACACCCCAAACATGTTTTTGGAATTCCAGAAAAATTGTTTTGCATTGAAATTGAAGAGAGTTGAGAAACCCTTGCTTGCTCAGTTCAGGCCACTACACTGACCCCTTCCTAGGGACATTTTGTAAAGCAGTTATTTCTGATTTGTGCTAGTAAAGTGAACTGCCCCCTCCAGCTGTCCCCACGCATGTCAATAGTTACCTGAACAGAGTCATCACCTGAGAGTAGGTGGCTGCAGACGTTCTTACCAGAGAAGTAGTTCAGATGGCTCACAGCATCTTCTGGAGATGGCCAACATTATATTATAGGCTTTTATAACTGGAATTCCTTCTGGGAAATATTACAATTTCATTTTGAGATTTAAAAAAATAATAATAAAACCTACTTTGACTACTTATCAGTGCTATTGGGTGAGCCCACATTAGTGTATACAAAGGTATCTATAGCCACAAGGTCCTTCACTAAACTATTAAAATAGCTGATAATTTTTCTATGAAGATGACACCTACGTTGTTTTATCCCCCTAATACTGGAGATCAAACCTAAAGCTCTCATATGGTAGACAAGTTTAATTTTTATTTATTTGTTTTGTTTTTTGAGATGGAGTTTCTCTGTGTATCCCTGGCTATCTTGGAACTCACTCTGTAGACCAGACTGGTCTTGGCCTCAGAGATCCACTTGCCTCTACCTACCAAATGCTGGGATTAAAGGTGTGTGCTGCAGCCACACCACTTGGTTTAGATTTTTTTTTTTTAATTTAAGTAAAAGAATATCTACATCTACAGTCCCAACTCTTGGGAGGTAGGGGCTGGCTAACCTCAAACATAGCAAATTAGAAACCCTATTTCAATCAATAAGATGAAAATGTGTCCTAAACTACTACTAACTTTTGAGTATCTTATCGTCAAAATGGCTTTTTTATCCTCTTTAATAGTTTTATATTTCTGCATTTAATGAATATTTATGGAGCATGATGTAAGTATAATTTCAGATATTGACTCTATAGGATGAACAAGTTATAAGCAAAACTTCTCCTGAAATTTACTAGGAAATGCAGACAGAGTCATAGCAATAAAGTGTACTGCATGTATTGATAATGGCAAAGTGTCATGGTACCCAGGGATGGGGCGTCTGTGGCCAAGGAGTCAGAGCCAGTTAATGGGTAATTCTAAAAAATTGTCAAATCTCATTTAGAACTGGGCTACTTGTTCATCTGAGAGGAACCAGGTCTTCAGCAGTTCCAAGGGAAGAGAGCTGGCATGTTCTGAGAACTGACTGGAGCTTTGGGAGCTCTGGTGTTAAGTATGGGTAAAGGACCTGAGGGAAATGAGAACTGGAGGCCAGAGTATGTAGCATCTTAGAAGCATTGTTACATGAAGTGGTGGATATGAAGAGAAATTTGGAGGCATAATTAATATGGTCTGATGATGCATTCAGGGCGGAGAGAGGAAAAGGAAGAGGAAGACTCAAGATCTCTGAAGGAGAGCATAGGCTTGTGCATACAGCATGAGGCAGTTAATATTCCAAAGTGCCTACAGGACCAGAAAGGGATCCAGGGCAGGAGTCGGAGCCAACCCAGATACAGTGTCTGAGTGGCTCTAGTGTACGAAGCAGTAAGTGAGAACAGAACACCTCAGACAGACCTGAGGAGAAGAGGGTCCACTGCTCAGAGCACCTAACTAAGTGTGAGGCCAATCACGACAAGGATGTCAGATAACACAGATACTACTTTAGGACAGGTACCAAACCCTTGTTTAGGGTAGAATTTAAAATCAATACTGAATGCAAACACTATCTTAAACAATGTATGTTGGTTATTTTCATCACCAGCATTTTTGCTGGTAAGGAAGCCCTTCAATGCAGCTCTGTGTATTTTTTATAGATTTATTTTTATTATTTTTAATTATGTTTGTGTATGGACTGTGGGTGCCTTCAGAAGTCAGGATAGATTGTCAGATATGTCCTCTGCAAGAACAGTATATGACTGCTGAGCCATCTTTCCAACTCTTAAATAGTTTATTATAAAAATATATGCTATAGAAAACTTTGAGGTATTAAAAATACAAGAAGAACCCTGCTACCCAGATATAAGTGGAGCACTGTGCTTCCTTCTGCAGAGGGATGGCACCACTGTGAGACGGTTCTATCAGCAGCTCCTCACTTGCTTGTTCTATTTTTCTGTATTTCTTTTATAAATTTCTTGTAAAAAAATCTCTCGCTGGCTGAATATTAATATTCTATTATACATACTGCCATTCTTTATCATTTATTTTTACCCAGACATTTCTCCTTACAAGATTTTTTTGAGAAATGATAAAACTGTCTGCAAAGATGTTCACTATGACACATCTGGCCTTTCTGCTACTTAGTGGATACGTTATTATTATTGGCAATTAATGTTCTAAACATCTGTTGACTGTTTTTACTGCAGCCATTTTTTCTGTGTATTTTAATTACAAAGTAATATATATTTGTTTCTTGGTTGGTTTGTGTTTAGGTTTTGACTCTTTTTAAGACAGGGCCTCTCCCTGTAGTCTGGGCTGTATTGAGCTCAACTGTAGCCCCTGATAGCCTTGAGCTTTCAGCATTCCTCCTGCCTTACTCTCCTGCATGAGGGATTATCAGAGTCTGGCACTATTCCTCAGCTAGTATTTGTGATTTTAATTAAAACATTTTAAGATGTATTTATTCTCAGTGGGGAGGAGTTGCCTGCAGAGACTAGAAGGTTCCTTGAAGGGGGAGTTACAGGTTCATACTAGGAATCAAACTCTGATCCTCTGTAAGAGTAGCAAGTGCTCATAACCACTGAGCCATCAAGAAGTACAAAAGTGAGGCTGGGGAGAGAGTTCAGAGTGTGTATTGCTCTTCTAAAGGACCAAGTTCAGTTCCCAAGACTGACATCCAAGCAGCTCACACCTGCCAGTAACTCTAGTTCCAGAGTTCCTACACACTCAGAGGCTTCCTGCACTCCATGCACATATTCACATAGGGATACATTATGAAATAGAATAAATGCTAAAAAAATAATAATAATACAGAGAGATGACTTGTGGTTAGGAACACTTGCTGTTCTTACAGAGGACCTGAATTCAGTTCCCAGCATCCATATGGGGTCTTAACAATCATCCTTAACTCCAATTCCAGGGATACAGCATAAAGACATATGTACAGGTAAAACACTCATGCACATAAAATGAAAAGAAATAAATATTTTTAAAAAGAGAAATGAATGTCTCAGAAGTGAAGGACCCTTTTAAGCTGTCCCATCCTTCTGCCACTCTTTCAGGAGGGACAGCTACCTTGAGCCCTTTGGGTGTAGCTTCCAGGTCTTTCTGTGCAGCTTCCAGGTCTTTCTGTGCTTCCCCACAATGGAAATAGTTGATTATTTTAGAGTTACTATATACCTAAAAGCATTAATTTCTTTGGAGATCTACTCTTTTTAATGTTTCTCTGGTTTCTTCTAGCATTTTCTTTTCTCTTTCTATGTTTATTGAGAGAGGGAATGGTGGGAGGACATGGAAGGAATTCCACCAGTGAGTATTCATGTTTGTCATGAGCATATATTCTGCCCCGGGCCACTCGAGTTTCATTCTAAATAATTATGGTATTTAAAAATACATATTTCTGTTTTCACAGCAGCTAGACACAGAGCAGTAATAGTCCCAGAGGCAGGCTTCAGGGTTCAGTTTTGTTTTCTATTGGTATAATAAAATACCCTGACAAAATTAGCTAAGAGAAAAATGGCTTATTTTGGCTCACAATTCCAGGTTATAGCCCATCATGCAGGGAGTCAAGGGCAGCGGGAACTTGAAGCAGCTAGTCACCTAGATAGTAAAAAATAAAGAAAAATGAATACATGCATGAGCCAGTACTCAGTTGGCATTTGCCATTCATTCAGTTTAGGATCTCTTGCCTAGGGAATGGTGCTACCCAAAGTGGGTGGATCTTCCCACTAATCAAGGTCATTTTTCACAGACATGTTCACAGGGCAACCTGTTTTAGACAGTCTCACATGAGGCCCCTTTCCTGGCTTATTGTAGGTTGTGTCAAAGTGCTCATTAAAACTAACCATTATAAGGGGCTTCCCTAGGTGACACGGCAGCTAAATAAAACAATTAATTGTAGGATAATCCATTTTAAAGTATCTGAAAACAAAAGTTACTTCAGTTTGTGAAAGGTAGCATCATTATTTTATTCCATAAAGACTTTCAGAATACAGATTAACACCTAGTAAAGAGCAGGAGTCTGCTGGCCAGGTACACCTGAAAACTAATTTAGTCATTCTAGCTCTGACCTTGGAAAATTTACCTTGCTCTTGGTGCCTCAGTTTCTTCTAGTATGAAATAGGGTAATAACTTACTTCTGAGGACTGCATTTAATTTGACTATTAACCATTGGATATGTTAGTATATGCCAGTTTCTTAGAACAGTGTCATAGCATACCATTAACTACAAATATGTTTGTTAGTATTTGAAGGAGTTGGGAGCTTCAAAACTTTGTTTTGTTGGTTTGTATGTCTTTGGTTCACTATCTAGATTTTCTTTTTTTTTTCTGATTTTCATTTTAAAACTTTGAATTTGTGTGTGTGTGTATATAAGCCTGATTGTTTCAGTAGCCCTCATAAAATTATCATAGCTGTCATATATTTTAACTTTTGTTTGTGTTTGTTTTTGAGACAGGGTTTCTCTATATAGCTCTGGCTGTCCTGGAACTCTGTAAACCATGTTGGCCTGGAACTCAAAAAGAACTGCTTGCCTTTGCTTCCTGAGTGCTGGGTTCAAAGACGTGCACTACCACTACCTTTATCACTATTAATTTTTAAATGATCTCTATAATCTTTATACACAGACATTTTTGTCTGTACCAATTTTTTTAGTCATTTTGAAATAAACATAAAACAGAATCTATTAGTACTACAAATAATTTGGTTCATTATAATGTCAGATATATGTGTTGAGTACAAGGGTAGTGATAGAGGTTAAAACATCTCTGGTCCAAAATTCAAAGTGCTCTAAGATCTGAGATTCAGGGGTATGGTGGTATAAATGAGTATGGCCCTCATAGGTCAGTATGCTTGAATGCTTGACTGCCAGTTGATTGAACTGTTTGGGAAGGATTAGGAGGTGTGGCTTTGCTAGGAGGTGTGGCAGACGCCACTGGTGGCAGACTTTGAGGGAACCCATTCTGTCTCCTACTTGTGGATCAGACGTGAGCTCTCAGCTGTTCCTGCTGCCATGGTTTTGCTCTGTCATCATGGACTCTGGCTCTGTGCATGAGTTATATGTGAAATATAAGTTAGTTTCATGTTTGGATCCTATCCTCAAAATGTCTTTTTATGAATAGGCAGATATACCAAATTTTCAAAATCTGAAACACTTCAGTCTCAAGTATTTCAGATGAGAAAATCTTAACTTGTAGTATAATTAATGGAGGAGGTGTAGAACTTCCCACTGGAGACTTGTTCCAGAGGGTGGTGTGAGCGGGTGTCCAGGGATTGAACCTGAGGCCTCACACATGCCAAGCAGGCTCTGTACATCCGTTTGCAATGGCTGCGGTGGTCCTGATGGCCTAAGGTGCAGACCTCATCACGTAAGTGCTATAGTACTTGACTTGGAATCTTTCACCCTCTCTGTAAATTTCTCATGAAAAGAAGATGGATTTTTCTACAGTTACATTAAAATAGTATAATTTTAGAAAAATTAGTTACAAATTCTTTTGTGTAGCTTCAAGGCTGGTTTTCTTTGACATTTTCTGGATACTTCTAAAGCTACAGTATGCAGTTTGGTTTATTTGTCTTTACTAGAAGCCAGAGTTCTAATTAATGTAGAGTTAATAAATGACTTTTTTCCCCCCGGAAAGCATAACGGTTTGGGGAGAGTGGTATTTTGTGTTTCTAATAGTAAATCAAATGCAGTGAGGCTCATGCAGTAGCTTGAACAGGCTGTTTACTCTAATGGGTAACAGATACTCAGCTTGTTGGCATCCAGTGAACAGTGTCTGCTAATGTCACTAGTACTTGTAATTATTTTTAGAAGTCACAAGCTTTGAGTCACGAGTTGGGGTTCAAAGCTATTTAAACTGACTGAGGACCGAGACCTTGTTACTCAGGTTGATTTATTAGACAGCTTTCAGCGAGCAGCTTAAACAAGTAGAGCTTCAGAAAAGCCAGGTTAGCCGACCGCCTCTCAGAGGACAGCTTTCCAAACAGACTGCCTAGTCACAAATGTGAAATACCAATTTTGCCAGTTAATTTCTTTTTGGCTGTATTGATTCGTTGAGTTTTATATACTTGACCCCTGTGTTTGTTCTGTGTACCGCTATGTTGTTTTTACCGAAAGCTTGGAGAATAGGAAGTAGCGATGGTAACTTTTCAATTAGTAATCCTTGAAATTGTTTTGTTGTTGTTTGGTTTTTTGTTTTGCTTTTTTGGGGGGACGGGTGTGTGTCTCACTGCATAGTCTAGGCTGGCTGAGATTCAGAGTCTTCCTGCCTCAACTTCCTGCATGCCAGGATCACAGCCGGGTATTACCATGACTGGTTAATTAATATATCTAAATTTAGGGCTGGGATTATAGTGCCCAGTGTGATACCTAAGAATTAGGAGAGCAAAAGCCTGTTATAATGCTGGGCACATAGCTCTTACTGTTCAGGGTGGTTGCCAGGGTACACAAATCACAGAGAGGAAAAGCAGAGTGTCTACCCCACCCGCTACTGTCCCTTCCAGACTCGCTCAGGCCTCCTCTGGCCTTTTGTCAGAAAAACAGGCCCTATCTCTATCTGTATGTGTATGTTTATAACTTTAAGTGTGACTAAAATATTCCATAGCTTCACTCTATGTCTCATGTTGTAGAATGCTTAATGCTACCAGTCTTGATCGACTTTTATCTGTTCTTAAAATGCATTGAAGTTTATAGTGTATTTTTATGATGTTAGAGAAGGAACTCAGGGCTACCACATGCTAAGTAATCCCTTGAATTTTTTTCTCCTATAGCTGTTATGAACATGAAACTGCTTTAATCTAGGTGTTATCTTTGGCAGATAATGGACCAAATAAATGACCAGGACCTTTAATAAATAACCGTGGTTGCTGACAGGTGGGCTTTACTGAAAGTATCCCCATCGGTTGAGGTGCAGGTCACCTGAAAGCTTCAACTCAGAGGCACTCCTGTCTGGCAAGTCCAGAAATCCATGTGGAGCAATCTCTTCTTCTTAAAAAACAAAAACCTGAAGTATTTAGAAAAAAAAAATAGGGACATTTATATTGCTGGACTTTCCATCTGATTCTCAGTAATGAAGAAAGGAGAGCATACATACTGATACTGAATCTTATCATGTATTGGTCTGAAAGACTTCCACAACCTTTACAAAGAGATTACATTTTTCAATTTTAACGTAGTTTTATCTGAAGAGCAGGATAAAATATCTTAACTATTTAAGCACTTCCTTTTTCCTGCATTCTCAAATATATTTTGAAAAAATGTATAGAATATGGGTAAAATTGAAGTGAGAAAAAAGTTCACTTAGGATGCCTTTAAAATGCTCTGTTAGCAAATGGATTTTGATTTGTTTTCAGGAGTTTTAAGTGCTCTGTGGTTTACATGTTTATTAGTAGGATTTTTTTGTTATGTAATATTTCCAAACTTTTATGTATCATTTTTGACTTGCTTGAGTGACAGTGGTGGTGTTTTCCTTGTTGTGTTGTTCTTGTTTGCTTCTTTTGAGAGGAATGTGAATGTGTATGCATGTATGCCTGTGTGCATTGTGTGTGTGTGTGTGTGTGTGTGTGCGTGCTTGTATGTGTGTCTTGAGATAGATTCACTATGTAGCTCTGGCTGGCCTTGAGCTTGCTATGTAGTCCAGGCTAGTCTGGAACTTATATATAGAGAGCTGACTTCCTCTGTCTCTCAGGTGCTAGAATTAAAGGGGACTTTCTTTATGTGTTATTCTTATGTTGTCTTCATAAGGTTACAATGTTACAGAGCCAGCAGGTGTTTTTACACTAACTTCTGGAACCATTTTTAGCTTTCCATTGACATAAGTGCACACTGCCTCTTACAGTCTTCTTTTGAAATGGAATTCCAACTACTACAAAGGACAATATTCCCACTGGGAAGTAGAGATTAATGGGAGACCTGGAAGATATATTCATATGGGCCATATGTCCTGTAATTCATCCTTCTGAAAAGTTAGAGATGATGTTGATTTAGACAGTGTTGTAAAAGAAATTCTTGGTTCTATAAGGTCATTCTTTTTTTAAGGTTTATTTTTATTATTTTTAAATCATGTGTATGTATGTGGATGTGTGCACATTAGTACAGGATTGATGGCCTAAGGCAAGCAATCCCCTAGAATCAGAGTTACAGGCAGCTGTTATCTCACTGAAGCCAGAGTTGTGGACCAGACTGAGAGCAAGTGCTCTTAATCGCTGAGCCATCTCTCTATAGTCCCAAGATTACTTTCATTTTAGTTTTGAGATAAGGTCTCTCTATATAACTCTGGCTGTCCTGCCCCAAACCATTTAGATCAGGCTAGCTTTGAACTCACAGAGACTGGCCTGCTTCTGCCTCCTGAGTGTTAGTTAAAAATAGGGGTGGTGGTGGCAGCTGAGGAGTAGCTCAGTTGGATCCTGATGGGAGGGGACGTAGGGAGGAACTGGGAAAAGTAGAGGGAGAAGAAACTGTAATCAGGATATATTGGATGAGAAAAGAATCTATTTTCAATGAAAGTGGAAAAGGGGGTGGGGTGGGGTGGGGTGGGGTGGGGCGGGGAGATAGCTCAGTTGGTAAAGTGCTTCCTGAACTAGCATGTAGGTGTGAGCTCAGCTGTCCAGAACTCACTTAAAAAGCCTTGTGGAAGGTCTCAGGTTTGACTTGCTTTTCATCCCAGCACTCTGGAGGCAGAGGCACGTAGGTCTCTGTTAGTTTCAGGCTACCTAGGGCAACATAAATCCGACTGTCTCAATAAAGTAAAAGAAGAAAGAAAGCTAAGTTCAGTGGGGTGTATCTATGACCCTGGTGCTGGGGAAAGTGGTCAGATGGGTTGCAGAGACAGCAGGATCTCTTTGGTAAGCTCCCATCTCAGCAGCAGTGCCTGTCTCAAAAACTAGGGTGGAAGACAGCCAAGGAAGATAGCCATACGCATGTGCATACAAGTGCCTGAGTACCTAGATGCAAACACGCATCCACACATGCAAAACACACACAAACATCATACAAAAACATCATACAAAAAAAAATACTTTTGCTAAATTAATGAAGACTGGGAGGCCAGTTTACAGTTTGCATTTTCTGATATCTTTTATTTTGCCTAGGTGATGGACCACCTGGACTATTCAACAAATGAAGAAAACCCAGTGATGACTGATCAGCAGATTGTACGACAGTAATTACGTGGACTTACAATGATGTATTATTGATTTTCTACAAATAGATTTTGGCCTTTTTTTCTTTTTTTCTTTTTTTCTTTTTTGCTCTTGGAGACAGAGTCAGGATTGGAATTCAGTCCTCCTGCCTCTGCCTCCCAAAGGTTTGGGACTATAGCTGGGCAACACCATGCCAGCAAGTTTTAAATCAAAGTTTGGATTGAAAATTGGGAACATATACAGTGATGTTTGCAAGTCCATATATTTTTTATGAGCTGGTAAAAATCCCATCATACATAGTGAAAGTGCATTTTCTTTTAATTATGTTAAAGTTGTGCCTTCACAATCAGATAAAAACGTAGGATTTGTGTAGTTTCCAAGTGTATTATATACATTATATTTTTCTAAAAAAGAAAAAAAAAGCTACCCTGACCTTCCTTTGTACTTTTCTTACTGAAATATTTCTCCAAATTCTAAGGATAGATCATGTATAAGTATCAAAGCAAGTTTCTGAGTAGATGTTTTTGTTAAAGATTTATGCAATTCTTAACCCCACTGCAGAAATAAATACTTAAGACTGCAAGAAAGCAGTTCATGTATATGGGTATTTTGCCTGTATGCATCTGTCTGTACACCACATTTGTGCCTGGTACCTGGTGCCTGGTGCCCATAGAGACCAGAGGAGGGTGTTGGGTCCCCTGGGACTGGAGTTACAGATGGTTATGAGCTGCCTAGTGGGTTCTGGGAATCAAATCCAGGTCCTCTGAAAGTGAACCATCTCTCCAACTTTGTACTTTAAGTATTAAAAACTTGTAACTTTTTTTAAACCTGAGTACCTAAATTCCTTCATTTGCATATGCATGCTATTAGACTGTTTTTTAGGTAGAAGGAAACACAGAAGTAGTCATTATAAGGATGCCAAAACTGAATCTAGTTTCTATTGGTACATGGTTTACTTGAAGATACAGATTAAACTTCTGTACTTACTTTTAAGTTTTAGTTTGTTTTTTTTTCTGATCTTTGAAATTTGATTCCATTGATTAGGTAATATTTCTTCTTTTAAATGTTTTTCTTATCTGACTAGATATTATATGTATAACTTATTGTTTGCTTTGGCCATCCTCACAAACCCCACATCATCATCACCCCCTACTTTCCAGTCCTTTTTATATAAGTGAGCACTGCTAACCACAAGTGTACTAAAGTTCATACCTTTTCTCAAATCCAAAATGAGTGGTCAGAGAGTTAACCACTTTGCTAGCCTGCAACCTGAAAAAAAATTTTTTTCCTTTTGATTCTTTGCAAAATCTCAGGTATTTTTCTAGAAATTAGAGGTGAAATTAGCTTTCAGTTTTGTTTCATCTTTTAAAATTTCTCTAAGAAAGTACCAGATACCAGGCAGTGGTGGCGCACGCCTTTAATCCCAGCACTTGGGAGGCAGACGCAGTCGGATTTCTGAGTTTGAAGTCAGCCTGGTCTACAGAGTGAGTTTCAAGACAGCCAGGGCTACACAGAGAAACCCTGTCTCAAAACAAAAACAAAAACAAAAACAAAAAAAGAAAGTACCAGATGACAAGTCATTGCAGAAGCTCAGGATTTTGTATTTCTGCATAAATGCTGCACAGGAGCTGTGAGCAGATCTAGTCTTTCCTGATAAGCCTAATTCAGCTTATTCAAAGTAAAATGAGCATATTGAAAAATGGGTTAGACCTTTGATATTTGAACTAAAGTTCACATTAAAAGCTTTTTTGTTTAATTGTTAATTTGTGCTGAGTAAATGACAAAGAAGCAGGACTGCCAGCCTCCTCATTCTTCTAGGTACAGGTGTGGGGGCTTTTGTTTACAGCAAAAGAGCTATCTGGAGGGTGATAAGTGCCATTTATAATTCTAACTGTATTTTCACTTCAAATATCAATAAAATGCCTGCCAGAATACAGCTGTTTTACTAACATCTGCATTCCCATTCAAGTCGTGATTTTCAAATGCACCAGTTACAATTTTATGAAAAATTTTAAAGAAAATTATTCTTAAAAAAAAAAGAAAATTATTCTTTCTAAAGCCTCGTTGAAATAAGACAATTTCTTAAAATAATTTGGTTTTATTAATTTGTAACTAATATTTTAATTTCCTAATCTAAACTTTGGCTCCAGAAAAACATGAACACATCTGCAAATGAATTCTGACTTATTTGAAACATTTCTCTTTTACCCAACCATCATATTGTTGTAATTAAAATCTTATATATGGACTGGAGTGTAGCTCACTGGAGTACTTGCCTACCATGTTCAAAGTGCCTTCCCCAGCACTGCCAATGAAACAACTTACTAAGTAGCTGTAAATAACAAAAAGAATTTCCTAGAGTCTCTCTACCCTCACTGCCAGTGTCATGTGTACTTAAACAGCCCTCCTAGCAGCATAGTTGAAAATAGCTCCACAGAGAAAATAAAATACAGAAATACTTTGTCTTGGAAATCAAAATGAATAGATACCAGAGTTCAAAATTTGGCTCTGAAAATTTGTCATCTCTTCCTCTCTTGCTAACCTAACACCAATAACTTTTAAGAGGTAGAGAAGTTGGATTTTTTTTTCACTAATCTTTTTTGTTTGTTTGTTTGTTTTCAAGACAGGTTTTCTCTGTGTATCCCTGGCTATCATAGAACTCACTCTGTAGACCAGGCTGGCCTCCGACTCAGAGGCGCCTGCCTCTGCCTCCCAAGTGCTGGGATTAAAGGTGTGTGCCACCAATGCCTGGCAAAATCAATGATAAATACATTTTTATTAGCTAACTTTAATTCACAGTTATGCTTTATACTAGAATGTGATTTAATGCCCTTTTGAAGGAAATACTATCCTTCCATATGCTGCTGGCATTCATGTATTTTAATTACATGTGTTTGGGTAGAGTGGCATATTTATAATAAATATCAATGAGTTTTCTAAATTCCTTTGCTCTTTCAGTGTCCACATTTCTAAAACTATTTTTCCATCATGGGCACTTACCCAGGGCTTTGCACACACTGAGCAAGTGCTGTGCCACTGAGCAGCATGGCCAGCTCCTCAGTTTCTGCTCTAGGTAGAAGTGGAATTATTTTACATCGGATGAGCATATATCTAGTCTGTTCATCTGATTCTCTAGAACTTCGGTTTGCTTCCTGTCAGTGAACTTTCAGAGCTGGCAGTTGTACTCCTGGTGGGTAGAATACACTACTAGTTAAAGAAGCTTTTGTAGTTTTCTATGAATAAGAAAAATAGATTGCATCAACTCAAGGTTGTAGTAAATAATCAGTTCACCACGTGGTGGGTTTGACTAAGCATTAAACATACTATAAACAGCTTTCCTATCCCTTTGGAATATACATAAAACATATCTAATGTATATCTGGTTTGCCTGCACCTTCCCCATAGGACAAGTGAGTATAAATTCAGTAGCTCTTGTCCACATTTTCCCCTTCTACATTGTACTCAAAATTAGTACCTTTTTAAGGGTGCGTAATTGGTTTTTTACTTCTTAGATGATTGGTTTGAATATGAGATTCTTTTTCTAACATTTTTCTATGTAATTTAGTGTAAATTAATATTTTTATAACACTATTAGGCTTTTTATGGAACATGATTTAAGACAGATTTTTGGATTGTTAATTTAGCAGTAAGTTAAGCTCTCTTCATCATGTGCCAATTCTGACAAGAAGAAGAACAGCAACAACAAACCTTTTAGTGTATTGAATTTACAGCCATGTACAATAAATTCTATTTTAAAATAAAAAATGAATTTGTTTTATTTTGTATGGCAAAAAAAATTATTGAAAGTAAACAGATGACACACTAGATCATGCATTGTGCACACACAAAAATGAACAGCATGGGATTTTCCTGTTGTTCACTTTTGACAGTTTACCTTTTGAAACTCAGATTTCGAATGTGATACTTACTAGAAAGTTATATTGATACCTAATAGCACTTGACTCTTTTTGAGACAGGAGCTTGCTATGTAACCCAGGCTGGTTTGTAACTCTAGATCCTCCTATCTCAGCCCCCAAACTGCTGAGATGACAGATTTGCACTACCACATCCAGCAAGATCTTTTAGTAGTTACTGTTCTGAGTGTCTCATTCTATAGCCTAGTATATCCTGAAACTTGCTCTGTGGCTGGGCCTGGCTTTGAACTCTGGATCTTATAGCCCTTCACCTTCCAAGTACTGAGATTACAGGTGTATGCCATCATGTTGGGCAGCCTTGAGCACTTTGGTTTGGTTGGTTGGGTGGTTTGATGTCTTTAGAAAGTATCTCAGTTGAGAGCTGAAGGGATGGAACCTCATCCCACTGGTCCAGCTATATGGAAGGATATGAGTACGTTAGAGAGAACAAGGGATGGCTAGAGCACAGGAGGAGGAAGAATTTTGCCCCTTAACCTAGATCCTTATGGCTGTTTTCATTTTTTAAATTTTATTTTATGCCTCAATTAAGTATGCAAAATACAAATAATAAAAGTCCCTGTTATTCTCCCCTCCCCCGTTTCCCAAGACAAGATTTCTCTGGCTATCCTGAAAACTTGCTCTGTAGCCCAGGCTAGCCTCCAACTCAGAGATCCACCTGTTTCTTCCTCCCTGGTGCTGGGATTGCAGGCATGTGCCACCACTGCCCAGCCCCATTTTTAATCCTCTTAATTAAGGTACTCATATTAGACTAGGGGTGAAGCTCAGTTTACATAGTGCTGTGCTGTGGGTTTGATGCTTAGCACTGTATTAAAAAGTATTCATACCAATAACTGGTTTATTCGTATCATCTAAAGGTTGAAAGGTACATGGCAGAAAACAAATGCATATGGCTTGAGTTAAGAGAATAATCAGCTGTGAGACTGTTATATTTAGATTTAAATAAAATTAATTCATGGTCTCTTAAAAATTACATTAGTTTGAAATTCATTCATCTTGTTATGCTAGAAAATGGGTATCAGAATTAAATTTTATATTAAGGTCATTTCCATTTTTATAATCTTTATGAGATCTAGAGTCTTACGGTTTCATCTTTTTTTGTTTGTTTGTTTGTTTGTTTGTTTTCGAGACAGGGTTTCTCTGTGCAGCCCTGGCTGTCCTGGAACTCACTCTGTAGACCAGGCTAGCCTCGAACTCAGAAATCTGCCTGCCTCTGCCTCCCAAGTACTGGGATTAAAGGCGTGCACCACCATTGCCTGGCTGGTTTCATCTTTGGTTGTCCCAAGTCACCCAGGTCAAAGTAAATTGAAAGTAGGGGCTGCGAGTGTAGCCTAGTGAAACATTAGTGTGTGACTTAGTTTGATATGTAAGAGCCCTGATTTACTTCCTAACACTAAAATCAGTCAATCAAATGTAACAATGTTTACCCCCCAGGACCCCCAAAGTAGAATGCATCAGAAAAGCATGGGTTCTAATGTGCTGATCTGAGAATGATTCCCACAGGCTCCTGTTTGAATGCTTGGTCCCCAGCTGGTGAACCTGTTTGGAATGGTTTAGGGGGTGTGGCCTTATTGGAGGAGGTGTGTCACTTGGATGGGCTTTGAAGTTTCAAAAACCCCCTCCCTCCCTAGGGTCTTTGCCTCTTGTTCATGGATCAGAATGTGAAC